AAATTTCCAACTAATTGTCTAAAAAAAATATTTCATCCAAATTTTCTAAACTAATCTGACCAAAAAATTTTTTTTAAATATAAATTCCTAAGCAATACCAATTCCTCACATTGATCCATTAGTCAACCAATAAAATTTGTGCCTTATTTAATTGTTTGCCAACTTCCAAAACCTCAGATTGACCAAATTTTTAAACCAAGTGAATAAAATTGTGTTTTATTCATACAAAGATAGTTCATACAAAATTTAAGATTTTCTCATACAAAACTCTATTATAGAAATTATCTCTAAAACTTTAGATTGACCAAATATCTAAACCAACTAAAAAAAGTCCTGTTTTTTATTCAATTTTGCTCATCCAAAACTTTATTATCGTAATTGACTATAAATCTTCAGATTAACCAAAATCTCAATCAATTCCAAAAAAAAATTTGCAATTTATCCAGATTTTTTAAAAAAAAAAACTCTACCTTCCAACTGGCTCCAAATCCTCAAATTGCTCAAATTCTCAACAAATTTAAAACAATTTGCAGTTTATCCAAATTTTTCTTAACATTTCCTACCTTCCTAACTAACTCCAAATCTGCAACAACCAAATTCTGAACAAGTTGTCTAAAAATTTATATTTTATGAAATTTCAGTGTCAAACTCTTCGAATAGACCCTATTTTGTCAACAAATTACATAAAAATTAGTGCCTTATTCAAGTATTTGCCAATCTCGAAATCTTTAGATTGCCCAAATTTCTAAATCAATACAAAGAAGTTTTGTTTCATTAATTAAAAAAGACTCTACCATCCTCACCGAATCTATATCCTCAGATTGACTAAACCCCAACAACCAAATTGCCTAAAAATTTATATTTCATCCATATTTTCTTATATAACTTATATCTTCCAAACAACACCAACTCCTGATCCAATTGTCAACCAATTGCCAACAAATTGCATAATTTTATTTGCCTTATTCAATTATTTTTCAAACCCTCAGATTGACAAAATTATCAACAAATCGAAAATAATTTTGCATTTTATCCAAATTTTTTAAAACTAACTCTACCTTCTTAACTGTCTCTAAATTCTCAAATTTACCAATTCTGCAACATCCAAATTCTCAACAAATTGTCTGAAAATTTATATTTTATTCAAATTTTCTAACTGATCTCACAAAACAATTTAGCTCAATCATATCTAAATCCGCACTTTTGCCCAATTGAATCAATCAAACAATTTTTACATTGACCTAGTTGTCAACGAATTGTATTAAAATTTGTGCCTTATTCAATTGTTTGCCAAGCTCTAAATCCTTATATTGAACAAAAGTCTAAAACAATTGAAATTTTTTTTGCGTTTTATCCAAATTTTTCAAAGAGAACTCTATCCTCCTATTTCACTCTAAATCTAAATTCTTAAATTGACCGAATTCTCAACAAAATTGAAAACAGTTTTACACTTTATACAATTTTTCAATACAACTCTACCCTCCTAACTGACTCCAAATCAGACCGACCTAATATCAAACAAACTATCTGAAATTTTTCATATTATCCCAAATTTGACAATCAATCTGACCAAAAATCCTCCAAATTTATTTTGTCCTTAAAAACACAAATCCTGATATTGCCTTACACCAAGTTATAAATATTATATATCTCTTATAACTCCTTTACCATGATGTACCAAGACGACTCCTACACCGAAGACATATCCCGTGGTCGCAAATTTATGAACTTATCGATATGCATGTATATAAATTCATTCATATCGACATACACGGTTTTCTACGCACTTTTGATCTCTATAGAATTGAGCGATGTTCGAAATTCCCAACAAAATGTCGATCAGCAGCATTTTCATTTTTTTGACGTCAAATTCTGGGACAGCGACCTCATGTTCGTCCCTGTGGTGTACAACTTGTTCTGGATCATTGCAGGTAATAATAATAAATAGATGATGATAATAATCTATTAATAAAATAAAAGGTAGGGCAGTGCACAAAGTTCCAATTTGAATTTCAGTAAAAACTGAACCAACTACATCACAACAAATAACTCATCAAACAAACAATTCTTGAACTTAGTTCAGTAGAATTCACAGCTAATTCATCATTGTAGAATTATTGTAAAAATTACTAACAAGTAAGAAGAAATGTCATTTAATACTAATTTTTATCCTTTTATCCTTTCAGGGCCATGGAGTGATGTAATCCTAAAATTGCTCCCGGACAAACCCCGGATTATTTCGATATGTGCGAATTTACTGTTCGTCGCCGGAATTGTGAGTTCTTTGTTGCTGATTTTTTGAGAAAAAACAAGAAGACAACCAGAAGTCACAAGAAGCAAATAGTGGTGATGCTTTGGAACATTTTGCTAGGATCTTTGTCGATAATTTTACTGCAAGCAAAATTTTGCCAGGACTTCTGTCTGGTAAGAAATAGTAATGGAAATAGAGTTAAAAATAAGTAGCTGGTGAAATGATTAATTAGATGGATGGCATTTGTAGTTAAAATCTTGGCGTCAAATTTGTTGATATGTTTTGGAACTCTGTTTTTTTTATCGGATCTGACTTTTGTCTTGTAGTGTTTTATAGTTAAAAGTGTTGGATAAAATTCGTTGTTATATTTTGGTTCTTTTCAATTTGTCTTGATATAACTTTTTTCTTGCAGCATTTCTCCATTCGTTTTCTTTTCTTCCATTTAGATTCACCTCACTTCCTTATTTTCAAAATAATTAATCAGTTACCAAAACAGTCCTGGATTTTATTAAATTCAAAACCAGCAACTGCATATTGACTATTATTTAGCAGAATATTTTTCAGTAAAAACCAGGGCAAAAAAGATGTAAATATTTAATGATGATCCTAAAATGATCAATAGATAGTTATTCCAATGTTCCAAATTTAAATTAAATTTTCCTAGGTGACTCCAAATCAACAGTTTAGCCTACATTTTCCAATGATATTTTGAGTTTGGTTCAAATTCCATGGCACTTTTAGTTTCATTCTAACTTTCTGAACAAAAATTTGACCAAATTATTTTAATTATTTCAGAACTTTCCAAAAAATATTCTAAATTCCCAGCTTGAACTACTCAAAGTTATGACTTTTCTAAGATGATGTATTAGAGACTCCAAAGCATAAGATTGACCATGTTTTTATTTGAACTCACTTGAACTCAAATGAACACTTTGAATTTTTCCAATTTTCTAAACGAGTTTGACCAAACTACTGTTCATCTGTCTTATTGAAAGACTCAGTTATCTTTTTTCATCCAAATAATGTACCAGAGACTCCAAAACACCATAGATTGACTAAAATTTCAACCAGCTGAATGAAACCAGTTGTTCTGTTCTTTTATAAACCAATCTAATAATACTACTCTTATCAATAATCTGTCGACTTAAAAGACTCCAAATTCTCAGATTGGACTACTTAAAGTCAACTTTTTTTATCCAGATAATGTACCAGAGCCCCCAAAATTTACCAAATTCTGAACCAACTAAATGGAACTTTTTGTTCTGTTTTATTTTTAAACCAATCTAACCAAACTACATTAATTGTTAATCTATCTTCCAAAAAACTCCAAATTCTCAATTTGGACTTACTTTGAAGTTCCCAATTCTTTGAGATGACGTACCAGAGACTCCAAAATGTTGTAGTTTGACCAAAATCTCAACTAAAATTGCATAAAAAATTCAGTTCTATCTTAATTTTCCAAATATACCCATCAAAAAGACTCCAAATCCTCAAAATAGAAGACCAGTAAAATTCCTCCAAAGACGAGTCAACATATTTTTTCTTCTAGTCATACTTTAGTTTTTGTCACAATTTTCTTGAAAAGATTTTCCAAACCAGATTTCTTTGGATAGTAGAACTTTTTTTTTCAAGTTCTTTAAGTCCACTGCATTTTGCTTAAGACAAATTACTGGAACTTTCCGTACCGTAATAAAATATTCGAGAAATGTTAAACGTTTTCAAATATATTATTACAAATACTGTAACTTTCATTATTTTTGCTATCTTGTTATATCTGAGCAAATCAAATGTGAATCACAAATCATAAATCAATTTATCTCCAGAACATTAACAATCACCGTCATTTCATTTCAAATTCAATTTTTAAAAAATTGTTGCCTAATTTACAATTGAACAAAATTGAAAAAGTGCTCCCGTACAGTCACAGTCTAAACGCATTTGCAAATAATTATGTGCGACATTTTCACTTATACTGTGCTTAGCTTGGCGCCATTTTCACATTTTCACATTTTTCAATAGTTTTCACAAAATTAGAAAAATGCTCCAGTACATAAACTGTCTAAACGCACTTAGTAAACTTGTTGTACTAGAGTGGCGCTTAGACTGTGCTTAGCCTTGGTAATTTTTTGAATTTTTAATCCAAAATTACAAAAAATATTTTATGAAAATTAAAACAAAATGTAATCATTTTTTATCCTCAAAAGCAATTGTTTTGTCAATACAAGCAGAAAGTTTTCTTAGATCATTCAAATCGGACGCTCAGTTCTCTCAAAAACTGCCATTTTTTGCACATTTAGCTCTGTATCTCCGAAACCGCTCCGAAATGCAAAAATTTTCATTTTCGTTTTTGGGCCCATTACTATAATTACGGAAAGTTAATAACTAATGCGATCCTGGATTTTTTTTTCATTCTAAACTATTCTGTAGCAAAAAGCAGAACAAAGATTTAGGATATCAAAGAACTGAGAAAATTGAAAATAACAGATGATGATTTACAATTAATTAAATTATCCAATAACTATGGTCTCTAATTATCTAAATCTAAACATCTATTTGCCAAAGCATCTCCAAATCATTAGATTGACCAACTTGTCTATTTTTGGTCAATCATTCACAGTCCAACATAATTTACCAGAATCTTTCTATTATATATTTCTATTTCCTTCATCCAGGTTTTGGTGCCTGTCTCCTCCGCAAACAATCGCTCTTCATCCTCCAAAAATACTTCAACGACAGCTTCCACTCCATCGAGATCTATCTAAAATGCACCTTCTACTTGGGCTCGATCCTGATATCGATTTTCCTGATTATTTTCATCGAAACCGATTTTTTGGCGACAGTCGTAACATATGTCCTTCTGGCCTTGTGCACTAATTGTATTATTTTGATGTTTTATAAAAATCCCACATACGATAAGGCGATGGTGGTGAGCAAGTATGAGATCCTGGATAATGATAATGAGGATTTGGATGTTTATAATAAGGTTGAGGAGATTGAAAAAAGGTTCAAGGAGAAGACAAGTAGAGATAAACAAGATAGTTGCAAGAAGCATGAAGCACCTACAAATACAATCCAACAAACAAAGTACGTCAAAACAATTGGTGAATCGTCCAAGCAAGTTTACGGGGACACCAGTTACGCCAAGCAAGACGTCCCAGCAAATCCTTTCGATGAACCAGAACCCGAAACAAGTACCAATCCTTTCGACGAAGCCGACAAGGACCCCAACAATCCTTTCAATGAACCAGATGATGTTTACGTTATAGAAAATGAGACCACAACAAATCAAACTGGTGACCAAGTGATTTACGAGTACGGAAAGACAAAAATCGAAGAAGTGCCATCAAAAGTTGGCAATGACAAAAGTGGTGATAGGGCCAAGTTTATTGCAGAGACTGTTAACAATTTAACAAGTGCTGATAGTACCAAAAAACCTGTAGACAAGAAGTTGAAGATTGTAGACAATACTGCAAGAAGTAGATTGATGGCGACGTTTTCTGGAGTTGCCAGTACCAGCCAAAGGTAATAAAAAACTTGTGGTGTATGGCATCGTGTCTCAAGGCAAATTGCTTGAACTTCCCGTACCGCACTGAAATATTCGAGGAATTTTACACGTTTTCAAATATATTATTACAAATGCTGTAACTTTCATTACTTTGCTATCTTGTATATATCTGAGCAAATCAAATGTAAATCATAAATCAATTTATCTCCAGGAACATTAACAATCGTCATTTCATTTCGAATTCAATTTCAAAAAAAAAAATAGTTGCCAATTTACACGAAATTGAAAAAAGTGCTCCCGCACAGTCACAGTCTAAACGCATTTGCAAATAATTCTGTGCGACATTTTCACTTATGCTGTGCTTAGCTTGGCGGTATTTTCACATTTTTCAATAGTTTTCACAAAATTGGAAAAGTGCTCCTTTACATAAACAGTCTAAAAGCACTTGGATAAACATTTGTACCAGAGTGGCGCTTAGACTGTGCTTAGCCTGGGTCATTTTTTAAATTTTTAATCCAAAATTACAAAAATATTTTATGGAAAATAAAAAAGGATGTAATAATTTTTTATCCTCAAAAGCAATTGTTTTGTCAATACAAGCAGAAAGTTTTTTAGATCATTCAAATCGGACGCTTAGTTCACTCAAAAACTGCCATTTTTTGCACATTTAGCTGTGTATCTTCAAAATGGCGAGACCTGCCTTTGCCAAAAACTAATCACCTCTTCTCCCAATCATTACAAATTGAATGTTTTTAGATCATTCAAATCCGATACTCCGTTCTCTCAAAAACTCGATTTGTATTTTCTGCACTCTTTGCTCCATATCTCCGTAACGGCTGGACCTGCCTTTGCCAAAAACTAATCAGCACATCTCCCTATCAATAGGGATCGAATGTTTTTGAACCATTCAAATCGGTTGATCCGCGCGCCCAAAAACGTGACTGGAAATTTGTATCCATACACACACACACACACACACACACACATTCATTTTTTCTGAGGTATGCCCTAAAATGTTCAGAAACCTTCAAAACGTCGAGAAATGCAAAAATTTTCATTTTCGATTTTCGGCCCATTACTATATCTACCCTACGGGAAGTTAAAAAATAACTACACTTATCAGCAGTGGCGTCGGAACCAAACTTTTGATGGGTGGGCTCGTTTTTTTTTTTTGATAGACAGCCAGTGGGCTCGTTTTTTTTTTTAGAGATATTAGCCCATATAATTTTTTGAAATTAATGGGTGGGCTGAGCCCCTCCCCCCATCAAAATTCATGGGTGGGCTCAAGCCCACACATTCCACACGGTTCCGACGCCACTGCCTATCAGTACTTAAACCTTTCTATATTTAATTTTGCAGAAATGGTAGCATCACAGAACCTCAGCCAATTTATTCAGAAAATCAATTGGAATTCAACAGCCGTCAAAATCGACCAAGGTATGATAAAAAAAAAATAAAAATCAACTGACCTGAGTATTCGTCCAGATTTCTTGTAAAATTTTTTACCCCTTTTACCCCCAGGAACCAAAAATGCTGCTCCAAGTTCTGCGAAGAGTTCACAGTCTTCAAGAAACCATCCTTCTACCCAAGTCTGGTATTATATCTGTACCAGCGTCTGATGCCCTTATTTTTCTGGATTTTGCTGCCATCGATTCTGCTAAGGGCTGGACTACCGATAGTCCTTTGCATCACTTTTTATCTGGCAGCCTCCATAATCGGGATGAGTGGCAATGTACTGATTTCGAAGTTGTCCAAAATGTCTGCAAATATGAGGCTGGTTTATTTGTCTGTGTTTTGCATGTTGGCATCGATGGCACTTTACGGTAAATGAGATAAATGATAATAAAAATAAGTACCTGAAGAAATTCTTAGAGATGATCCATCCAATTCTTGTTTTGGCCTGAATTGACAGTATTTCTTTGACTACTAGCCTTTATTATATTTTCAGAAGTGACAAAAGTCTACAACACCATGACCATCCTGGTCATAACTTTAATAGCAAGTTTCTGCATATCTTGCTCCACCAGTTTAAGTCGAGCTGCCATAAACGACTACTTGGAAATCCAGGTAAATAGATATCACATCACATCTACTTTATTAAGATGACCATATTTTTTTAAGTCAAAACCAGGACGGCAATTTTTGGTAATGCTAATCAGGAACTGGGGAGTCTTCTATTTCTATTTAATTCCATTCATTTTTTTTTCTTATTTAATTTAAAAATAATACTTGTTCGTTTGTTTCCATAATTTTGTTAATTAACTTCCCGAAGGAGTTTGTTTTCATCAAAAAATCCGAATTGCTAATTTTATGTTTTCTCGACGTTTCAAGCCATTCTGAATCGAATGAGACCAAATTTGGAAAAAGTATGTGTGTGTGTGCGTGTGTGTGTGTGTGTATGTGAACAGATTTTTTGCCGTAAATCGACGTTTTCTCGAAAACGGCTGGGTCGACTTCAAAAATTTAAAAGCCATTCGATGTATCTCGACGAGTTGTTTGTCAGTTTTGTGCAACGATCTGACAAGCCGTTTCTTTGTAATTCGAAAAAAAGTGTTAAACTTTTCGTCTACATTTAAGCTCATCCTACCGAACCGATTTTAAAAAATCAAAAACTGTTCGAAAGATATTAGTTGGGAATGATACTGATTAATTTTAGGTGAAAATCTACCGAGCCGTTTTCTTGTAATTAACTGTTGAAAAAAGTGTTAAATTTTCGTCGACATTTAAGCTCATCCTACCGAACCGATTTTGAAAAAGCAAAAACTGTTCGAAAGATATTAGTTGGGAATGGTACTGATTAATTTTAGGTGAAAATCTACCGAGCCGTTTTCTTGTAATTAACTGTTGAAAAAAATTTAAGCCGATGTTCATGGAACTTTTTTTGGCGATATTCATCGTGGTCTTATAGAACTTACTGTAATGTTACGGCCTTACGACAAGTAGTTAAATTTTACAAATTCGTCAAAGTTTGCTAAAATTATTATCGTTTTTTTTTAAAGTAGGATTGATGAAGTATATTATTTACACATTTTTTTTTTAAGTCGATTATTGACACATATCGGGAAGTTCATGTAACTTGCCTCAAGGCTAAATACCAAACCAACTAGTTCTATTAATACTCGGGACAATCCGGGACAAATATGGCTTTTAGAAAAACCTGGGACACAAGTTGGAAATCCAGTCCCTTAACTTTATTCATTATTCTTTTTCCTTTTCAGGATCTGAACAAATCCAGGACGATCCTGACCACGATCTACGCCTTGTGCCTGGTTTTTGCAACTTTTGGACACAACAATTATATAGATTCTTATTACAGAGTGGCATCGTTTGTAAATATTTCTATAGGAATGCTTTATGGTAGTTTTGTGATGTTTCGAATTTGGTTCAAGTTTAACAAACATCCTAGCAGCCAATTGACTATTAGTCGAACATAGTAATAACAGATAATTATAATTGATAAATGTATTAGTTGGGCAGCAACTGAGTAAAATAGATGATATGAATGCAAAAATGAATAGGTACAGTGGTATCCCAAATTACATGTACCTGTTATACAAATGTTTTGAGATTCAAGTTGCCAAAGGAGCGATTTGTTGCTTCGATATGCGAGTAAAATTTGAGATACGAGCTTTGAGCAAGTAAGAGTAGTCTAGAAAAAAGTTAATGACTGTTAATGAAAAGTTAATATGAAAAATTTCGTCAATTGTAACCATGATTGTCCTATTATAGTAATATAAAATATGAATAAAAAAAATAAACAAAATAAAAATATGAAAATTTTTGTCAGTTGTAAAAATTGTTCTACTATAGAAATATATTGTCTGCTTTTTATTGTTAATTATTTTATAGTCAGATTTCATTGCTCACCTTTTTTTATATTTAGTATATTTTTTTTTAAATTCGTCTCTGTTATTATATATTAGGATAAATTATTACAAAGTGTATAAAACCATCCATAAATCTGTGTACAAAAATTTTTAACTGTTGGAACAAAATTATATTAAAATAATTTGTTGAATTTTGAAATTATGAATACTTCGCAAATTCACATTTCTTTCGCTTTAATGTTTTGGATTACATTTATATTTATTTTGTTACAACTTTTGTTGATTTCAGTGCTGACCTTTTTTCATATTTAGTATAATTTTGTTCAAATTTGTCTCTGTTATTATATATTAGGATAGATTATTAAAAAGTGTATAAAACCATCCATAAATCTGTGTACAAAAATTTATAACTGTTGGAACAAAATTATATTAATAATTTGTAGAACTTTGAAGTTATGAATACCTTGTAAATTTCACATTGTTTTCATTTCAATGTTATGGATTGCATTTATATTTATTTTGTTACAATTTAATTAAATATATTAATATTCATACCTTCGTTAATCGTATTTTTTAACTCCAATCAACTTCAATTAACCACCAAATTGAATTTCTGTTCCTTTCGTCTTCTTAAAACTTCTATAAAAACATCAATAGACTATGCTGAGCACTACATGTGTTTTATAAATCCATCAACCTAAAATTGATACATCTATTAATAATAATAAGTTTTTCAAGATATTTGAGTTATCAAGACTGCTTAAATTAAAGTTTGATATTACATTTTAATAACAAAATACTTACATAAAATTTTACATAGTTCTATTTGATATCGTTGTAACTGTAAAAAAGTTGTCATTAGACTAATTGTAAGTACAATAGAACCCCGTCAAGACGATAATAAAATTGTCTCTATCCCGTTTAAGACGCTTTTCAATCGCTCACTGAGAAATTGTCATAACGGGGTTGTACTGTATATACTTGTAAATATATAAAAATATTTTACTATTTTATAACAGTTATATTATATACTTTATCATATATACATAATTAAATAAATAGAAATTGATTTTATATTATATGAAATTGTTCAAAAGATTAAATATGTTTATTTAAATATATATTTATATATATATATATATATATATATATATATATATATATATATATATATATATATATATATATAATTACATTTAAAATGCTTAACATGGAATGTACAATTTCAAAACAGTTTATAATAATATCGATAACATGATAATTTTAAAAAATTATAATAAAATATGTAAACATCTAAAATATTTATAATAAAATTCGTTAAAATCTAAATTAAGTCTATTAAAATTAATATAATAATTACTTTCATAGAATTTCTTGAAAAATATTCTTTTTAAACTCCTTATTTTTCACATAAATATTTATAATTATATTAATGAGTGAAATATATTCAAAGACATGATATATTTTGTATTAATTTTATATATATGATAATAAACTAATAAATAAACTTTCATTTAAGTACTTAAGCATTATAGATAGTTTTAAAACAACACATTGAAATAATGACAGTCAAAAATCACAAAAGTAAGGAACTACTATACATACCAAATTTTTAAAGACTCCAATAGTTCATGCAATTCTTAATAAATTAATATATTAAATTATCTTTTTTATTAACAATTGCATCATAAAATATGAATCTATAATAATATTAGCTAAGTAAATCAAAAATATCCTCCTTTGTCAAACTTTTCGTCTCGGTATTACTTTTAATAAAATTCTGGTTAATAGAATTAGTTTGCATACTATTCATAGGTATTTTATTATTAGAATTCGTCGGAGACGTTAATAAACTATCGAAAAGCTGCCATAGAACCATTTTTCGTAAAAACTAGAATTCATAAAACTCTGATTCATCGTACTCGTCGATATATTATAATTAGGCTTTTGGAAATTGGATGTGAAATTCTGGTTACCCATGAAATTTGGTTGTTGATTAAAATTAGGGTTACTGACCATGTTCTGGTTTGGAAAATTGGTACCATTCATGGTGAAGTTTTGGTTGATGTTGCTGCTCCAGGAGTTTTGGTTGTAATTTGGTTGTGTTGCTGTCGTTGTTGTTGTTGATAGTTTTGTTTGCTGGTTGAACATTTGGCTTAAGTTCGAATCCATTAAATTTGTTGCTTCGTTTGTTGGTTTTGAGATTGGATTTTGTGGTTGGAGAATTGCTGGTTGAGATCTCATTTTTTGGGCAAATTCTTGTTGTGACACAATTCTAAAATGATAAATGATTTATGTTTTCAACTTCACAACAAAGAAGATTGTTTTTGTCAAAAAATACGAATTGATAACTTTGAATTCTAAATGTTTCAAGTCATTCCTAATCGTTTGACATAAAAAATTATTAGTAATGAAGTATTAAAAGATATCTTTACTACTTGCAAAATTTCAGACAGTCATTTACTACATTTTTAGCCCAGTTACAACATTTTCAGACCAGTTACAAGATTTTCAGACAATTCACAACATTTTCAGAGCAGTCACAAAATTTTCAGACAATCTACAACATTTTCAAACAACTCGTAACATTTTTAAACAATTTATAACAAGTTCCGATAATTCACAACATTTTAAATAATTATAAACATTTTCAGATAATTTACAAAATTTTCAGACCAGTTACAACATTTTCAGACAAGTTACATAATTTTCAGACCAGTAACAACATTTTTAGACAATTTACAACATTTTCAGAAAATTTTCCATATTTTCAGACAATTTACAACATTTTCAGACAAGTTACATAATTTTCAGACCAGTAACAATATTTTTAGACAATTTACAACATTTTCAGACCAGTTACAACATTTTCAGACAAGTTACATAATTTTCAGACAATTTACCATATTTTCAGACAATTTACAACATTTTCAGACCAGTTACAGCATTTTCAGACAAGCTACATAATTTTCAGACCAGTTACAACATTTTCAGACAAGCTACAACATTTTCAGACAAGTTACAACATTTTCAGACAAGTTACATGATTTTCAGACCAGTAACAACATTTTTAGACAATTTGCAACATTTTCGGATAATTTACAACATCTTCAGATAATTTACAAAATTCTCAGACAATTTACAACATTTTCAGGCAATGTACAACATTTTCGGATAATTTACAACATTTTCAGATAATTTACAAAATTCTCAGACAATTTACAACAGTTTCAGACAATTTACAACATTTTCAGACAATTTACAACATTTTCAGACAATTTACAACATTTTCAGACAATTTACAACATTTTCAGGCAATGTACAACATTTTCGGATAATTTACAACATTTTCAGATAATTTACAAAATTCTCAGACAATTTACAACAGTTTCAGACAATTTACAAAATTCTCAGACAATCTACAACAGTTTCAGACAATTTACAACATTTTCAGACAATTTACAACATTTTCAGACAATTTACAACATTTTCAGACAATTTGCAACATTTTCGGATAATTTACAACATCTTCAGATAATTTACAAAATTCTCAGACAATTTACAACATTTTCAGGCAATGTACAACATTTTCGGATAATTTACAACATTTTCAGATAATTTACAAAATTCTCAGACAATTTACAACATTTTCAGACAATTTACAACATTTTTAGACCATTTACAACATTTTCAGACTAGTTACAATATTTTAAGACAAGTTATAACATTTTCGGATAATTTACAACATTTTCAGACCAGTTACAACATTTTAAGACCACCAACAACATTTTCAAACAAGTTACAACATTTTTAGACCACCAACAACATTTTCAGACCAGTTGCAACATTTTTAGACAATTTTGAACATTTTCAGACCAGTTACAACATTTTTAGACCATCAACAACATTTTCAGACCAGTTGCAACATTTTCAGACAATTCACCATATTTTCAGACAATTTACAACATTTTCAGACCAGTTACAACATTTTCAGACAAGTTACAACATTGTTAGACAATTCACAACATTTTTAGACAATTTACAACATTTTCAGACCATTTACAACATTTTCAGACCAGTTGCAACATTTTCAGACAATTTACACCATTTTCAGACATTTACAACATTTTCAGACAATTTACAACATTTTCAGACAATTTACAACATTTTCAGACCAGTTACACATTTTTCAGACCATTTACAACATTTTCAGACAATGTACAACATTTTCAACCATTTTACAACATTTTCAGACAAGTTACAACACTTTCAGACTAATTACAAAATTTTTAGACAATTTGCAACATTTTCAGATCAAAAACTACATTTTCAAGCAAGTTACAACATTTTCAGATAATTTACAACATTTTCAGACAATTTACAATATTTTCAGACATTTTGCAACATTTTCAGACAATTTACAACATTTTCAAACAACTTACAACATTTTCAGTCCAATTACAATATTTTCAGACCAATTACAACATTCCCAGACAATCTACAATATATTCAGACAATTTGCAACATTTTCAGATTATTTACTATCATTGTCTCACAATTCACAACGCTTTCAAACAATTTACAATATTATAGACAACCTAGATCATTGTCGAGACAAT